CACTTGACGCCAGACGACAAACTGGGAGCTCAAGCCAAGGCAGACACGGGCATCGCGCGTCGCTTGACGCCACAGTGTCGAGCACGTCTTTTGAGGTATTGGACGCGCCTTTTGAAGGTGCTCGATATATATCCCTGTATATATATTTGGGCAGCCTATATACACTATCATCCAGTGTATTCTACAACGGTCCAACATGACCCCATAAACTGTCCCGACATTGATTCCGGTTAGCATCTCCAACGGTCCGGCATGACCTCGTAAAATGTCCCGACATTGATTCCGGTCAGTTTCTACACCGGTCCGGCATGACTCCGTAAACTGTCCAGACATTATCTGCTACAACGGTTCGACACGACCATACAGTGTCTTCTCTACCAGTTCGACACGACCATACAGTGTCTTCACCAACGGTCTGACACGACCATACAGTGCCTACTATCCTCTTTTATTTATGTATTAGTTTATTTTCACGTTTTGTTCCTTTCCAAACTCAAGTAGGTTTGTACCTATCCTCCTTGCGTTTGAGGGGGGCTGTTAGAGTATATAATATATTAGTAGATAGTGAGCCTCCCTTTCGGTGCCTTTAGGTGCTAGTGCTTCACTTTCCATCATGAGCCATCATTGTCCATTGTCTGTAAGGATTGTATTTTCTCCTATATAAGGAGCCCCTCACCATTTGTAATATAAAAACATTCAATACATCAATCATAATACATATAATTTATTCTCTCTCTTTCTACCAATTTATCTTACAACGTCAACAACATAGCACCCGAAATAGAAATTGAACAAAAAAATGAACACCCCCCCTACATAGGGGTGCAACTTCGGTGGGCTCAACCCGAACAACTCGAACCCAGCCTGAATTTTTATAGGACTTGAGCAAGATATTTTTAAATTCAGTACGGATTTGGACAAAAATTCAGAAGTCCGAATTAAATTTGGGCGGGCTTGGGCAAAGATGTCGAACAACCCCGAGCAACCCGAATTATACATAAATAGATATATAAAAATATTAAATATACATATAAATTATTAGTCATTACATGATATTAAACCCATAATCATTACAATCCTCTCTCACAAAAAAAGTCAAAAAAGCCAAAAAGCCAAAAAGCCCTTCCCAAACCAGGCTAAAATAGCTCGGGCTAAAATAGCCAAAAAGCCAAAAAGCTAACCCACTTCCCAAACGGAGGCATAAATTATTTGTTTTGATGGTATTAATGATTTTCTATATAATAAAAAACTGTAAATAGAGTCAAATTTTAATAATTTAATAAAGCAGCTGCACAAACAAAACAAAAAAAATCATTTACAATTCGAGCAATTTGGGTAATCAAGCAATTCGGGTTTAACTCAGGTTGGGCTTGGACAAGCAACTTCGGGTTACAATTCGGGCCTAGGCAGGTCTCAGTACAACTTAGACTGGGCTTGGACAATCTCCCAACCCGCGCCGAATTGCACCCCTACCCCTACACCAACAAATCCACGCTTCCACATCAAAAAAATACATTAAATGGGCAATAACATTAATCCCACAAATCACTCCACACAATTCCCAAAAAAAACATTAAGAACATATCATCATACCTTAATAAACCCACCCAACATCAATAAAAAGAAGAAAAATAACATCAGAAGCCCAAGATTCCACATCAGAAGCCCACATCAAATAGATAACATCACTAACCCCCAAATCACTCTACACAATCCCCACAAGAAATTTGAAAAATAACACAATACCATAGAAAAAAACCAAAACCAAAATTACAATCAAGGGTAAACAAGTAAACTCCACAACCCTTAAATTAAACGAAAACAGCATACCATAAATAAAAGGACTAATTGGTTTAGAAGAAAACTTCCAGGACTAAATGTAGCAACAGTTTCTCAAATGAAATTTTTGAATAATTTTTCCTAAAAGGGATTTATTATTAATTTATAATTATTTTTTTAAGAAATAACTTTTCAAACTAAAAAAATTCAAAATTTAATTTTCAGTTTTAAACATAACTTGTCACTGAAAAAAATTAAAATTGAATTGTATGCTCTCTCTCTCTCTCTCTCTTTTTAAAAAAAATAAATAAATAACAAGACTTTCTCTCTCTATAGAAAAACCCCAAACCGAACTGAAGCCCGGTTCTGAGCTTTGCTTGTTCTGCTTCAATGGATCTTACCCCTCTCTTCCCACACCTATATGTGTATATAATGATGTGCTTGATTTGATTTTATGGATAATAAATTAATGGGGGGTTAGGTGTATTTGGTGTAGGGAGAATAATTAATGGGATATGCTGTGTTTGGTTTGCATGAAAAGAAAATTAATTGATTAAAAATTCTTTTTAACAGTAAAATTGACATTTTGCCAAGATAAAATGCCGACATGAGTTTTTTTTATAATTTTTTGACTGCTCGTTGTCTTTTATATTGCTAATATAGAAATTACTGGGAATGTCTCTGGAATTGTCTGAAATTTCAAAAAAGATTGGTGTAATTCTCTTATACACTTTGATGGTTTTATGAATTTTTAAGATGGGACTTTTATACAATTTCAAAGAAAAAAATAAAATAAAATAAAAATTGATGATATTCACTTACAGTTTGCTTGCATATAATTACCAAGATATATACTAAAATTTACTTACATAGATTAAGATCTAAAAAATCATTCCAATAACTCAAAAAATTAAAATTTGGTCTTGCTTCATAGTTTAGCAAATTTCAATTTACAACAAGAAAAAAATACCAAAATAAAATCTAAAGTTATAATATCAACAAAAATAAAATAAAATTTGAACCAATTACAAGAAAATAACACTTAAACATTATTGTTCTTACATTTTTCTTGTAAAATTATCAATTAAGCTCATATAATTAAACTTATCTAATTAAGCCTTCGTTTGGCAATGACTTTTTTAGTTGGCTTTTTAACTTTTTTGACTTTTTTAGCCTGAGATTTTTTTGTACGTTTGGTATTCTTGATTGGCTTTTTAGCTTTAGAATAGTGGATTTTTTTTTGTCTTTTTGTGATTTTTGACTTTTTGTGATTTTTTGACTTTTTTTTATCATTTTGTGATTATTTAGCCTAACATGAAAACCAAACACCGCCTAAGTATATCTTTTTCAAATATAATTTAGCTTCAATGTTAGACTTTAAACTTTATTCAATCTTTCTCCTCTTTTTACCAAACATATACGTAAGGGTCTTGATCAAGGCTTAATAAAAATAATGCTGTTTTGTTTATGCTTACCAGTATAAGGATTGAACTTAGATGGGACATTATTTTTGAGTCAAAATTTGAAAAAATTACGACTGTTTCCTGTTTTTTTTTTTTTTTGGTTTGAAAAAAGTAGAAATTATTTTGACAAAAATAAACCTGAAAAAATATATTTTAAATTTTAAAAACTTATTTCTGTCCCAATAAAGAGAATAGTATGTTTGGTAACTTTAAATAAGAAAAGAAATGATTAGATAAGTTATAAGAGAAAAGAAATGAAATGAAATGATTGTAATTTTTTTCCTCTTTTGCTTGGATAGATAAAAGAAAAAAGAAATGAAATGATATTTAATTTTTAGGTAAACTACCAATAGATCCTAATAGTTGGACTTAATTGTCATCAAGTCTTATTGAAAATAAGTCCTAATACAATCATCGCTAAAAATATTTTTTTTGACGATTTTTTATACATCATTAAAAATTGACAATTAGGCACTTTGTTTTTGTCACGGTTTTTATAAATTGTCGTTAAAATTTACAATTAGTGACATTTTTCTGTGACGAGATTTTCAAATTGTCGTTGAAAGTTAAAAATTAGTGACCTTGTTTTTGTAACGATTTTTTTTTAAACTGACACTAAATTTTTTAATTAATGACATTTTTTGTGACAAAATTTTTAAACTGTTGCTAAAAATTAACTTTTTGTGACGTCTTTTAATAGTACATGATGAAAAATGCCATTAATTATCATAGGACCTATTAGACAATGAGTCCACTTAATAGAACCAACAACCTACATGGAAGTCTCCCTTAATTTTTCTCCAATCTTGTTTGGTTAAGTTATATAAAATAAAAAGAAACAAAATGATATAATATTATATTATTAAATCAACCTCTTATAGGTATTAGTCTTTTTGGGTCCGTTTGGCAAGGGCTTTTCCAGGCTTTTTTGGCTATTTTAGCCACAAAAGACAAAATAGGCTATTTTAGCCACAAAAAACAAAACATCACATCCAACCCATAATCATTACACTCTTCTCTCACAAAAAAAATTCAAAAAAGCCAAAAAACCAAAAAGCCCTTCCCAAACCAAGTTTTTTAGCCCAAGGTAAAATAGCCAAAAAAATCAAAAAGCCAAAAAATCAACCCACTTCCCAAACGGAGGCTTTATTTGTTTGATGTCTAAAAGGATAGTTTTGGTATTATAACAATGTTTGGTGGCATTTCACTCCCAGTCTCTCCACTTTTGGAGATTGAAAATGGGAGTAATGACATAAATGTGTTTTTTTCCATTTCTTTCAATTTCTGTCTTATTTGGTAATCTAAACAAGTGATTGAAATTCATTTCTATCCATTTTATTTCTTTTCTCTCCAAATAACTCAAACCAAACAAATACAAAACAAAATGAGTGTTCTCCAAATTTTTTTTTCTTACCAAGTTTTTGAAATTTTTTCAGAAAATAAATTCTTAATACTGAACCAAACAGAGCACAAATGTCTCAAGTGCCGGCGGGTTGACCCTCTCTCTTGATAGATGACTTTCTCGGCCTTGGAAGGAAGAATGGGAATATTATTGTCAGCACACCAAAATTGACTTTTATAGATGTTGAAACGGATACCTAACCTTCGGCCACATCAGATTCAGTTGACGGCAATCTAATATAATTTATATATAACTATTGAATTCCAGCTTTTCAATGCCATTTTTGTTTAATCATCAATTTCCATTATTTGACCACAAGTTGTAGAAATCTCCTCAACTAGAGGTTCTAGACAGTTCACTTCATTAAGGCTGTAACAATTCAACCCCCTTAGATTGTGTTGTGTATTGCACTAATTGAGATTGAAATAATATTATTTATAAAATTTCATTGGTTAGCCTTTCAGTGTCATGAAGAGCACTTTATTTTTGTTTATTTGGTCTTTCATTTGGATCAGAAGAATGCCTCAGCCGCCTTGATTTCATTTTCTTTGACTTGGGATTTTTACAAACACGTTATTTCATTCATGTTATTGTAAAAGTCACTGCCCTTTGATTTGTATTCAACTCTCAAAACTATTCAATCAGGTCCAATTTTTGTAGTTTACTATTGACATGGGCATCTCAATACATCAATCATGGCAGCTAGGGAATGATAAAAGCCTTAGCACTCAACATTGTAGGTGAGAAAGCCAAATGGGTACCAGAAATAGTCCTGCACCTGCTTATGTTTTTCTTTCATTCCCATTGCTCTTGTGTTTCTTGTTTATTCCATCACAATGTGCAACAACTGATACTTTAACTCAGTCCCAACCAATATCTGTAGGACAAACTCTTATTTCTCAAGGCCAAATCTTTGAGCTAGGCTTCTTCATTCCTACCAATTCTAGCAAACAATACATAGGAGTCTGGTACAAGACTGCACCTGGCCAGAAAGTTTTGTGGGTATTAAACAGAGAGAATCCTCTTTCAGCCACAGACAATGCCTCGAGTCTCACAATTGGCAGCAATGGAAATCTGAGATTATTAGATGGGAAGATGAACAATCTCTGGTCTACAAATGTCTCTGTCCAGTCAAATAACACAATTGCAGTGCTTTCTGATAAGGGAGAACTTGTTCTTAAAGACAATGCCTCGGGATCGATCTTGTGGGAAAGCTTTAACTACCCTGGTAACACTTTCTTGTCTGGTATGATGATAGGGATGAACTACAAAACAGGCGAGAAACGCTCCCTGACTTCGTGGCAGACAAACAACGATCCATCACCTGGGAATTTTGTGGAAGAAATTACACTAGATACACCGCCACAAGCTATTGTTTGGAATGGTTTGAAGCCTCACTGGAGATCCGGTCCATGGGATGGATCGAAGTTCATTGGTATACCATCCGTTGCAAATGGCTATATGGTTGGACTCAGCATCTTACAAGATAATCAGCAGGGAACCGTGTTTCTCGCTTTCAACTCGGTTAATGCCTCTTTTGTCACGATTATAGTCCTTACACCAGAAGGATCTATGACATCGATAAATTGGGAGGAAGGAAAAGACTGGTATACTACTTGGATAGCACCAGCACCGGGAAATCCATGTGATGTCTATGGATTTTGTGGAACTTTCGGGGTTTGCAACAACAATAATAATCCAATTTGTCAATGCTTGAAAGGGTTTGTACCAAATTCAGCTGAGGAATGGAGCAAAGGAAATTGGACAGGTGGGTGTGTGAGGCGAACTGAACTGCCATGCCAAAAGAACATTAGCACCCTAGCAAATGCGACAGCTAAAAATGACGGCTTTTGGCAGATAAGTCAAGTGAAGCTGCCTGATAATTATCAATCTTTGTTGACCGTGGTCAATGATAACTCCGGTTGCCAACAATGGTGCTTAAATAACTGTTCGTGTGTGGCATATGCATTTCCAGCTGGAATTGGGTGTCTGGTTTGGACTGGAGGCCTCGTGGATATTCAGCAATACTCAATTGAAGTGAACGACCTTTTCCTCCGCCTTGCAGATTCAGAGCTAGGTAAATTTAATTATACCATAATTTATATTGTGTTTGTGTTCTGAGTAATTGACAGTTCTTATATATGTTTATTCTTCATTTGTTTTTTTCTTTTCCTATTCCAGGTAATAATAATGATAACAAGAAAAGAAACAGGATCATCATTAGCGTTACAATAATTTCTGGGGTTATCCTCTTAGCTGCTTTCTTGTTTGGTTTGCGCTGGTGGAGAGCCAAACAAAGAGGTAAGAAGGCTTCTATTTGGCTGCTGCATGTTTACATTTATGACATTGAACAACCAATCATCACTTCATGTTTTAGTGAAACAACTGTGAAATATTCATTTCTTCTTGAAAGTTATGCTAAATATGTGGCCATCAATTTTCTCTTTCATATGGAAATTAATGAAGATTGCTATTCCATCAAAAGTAGAAAGGCAAGGACCCCTAACTACTCCCTCATCTTACCCAAATGATGTCAATAACTTTTTTCATTTCTTTTATGTTTTTTGGGTTCTGCAGATGCTATGAAAATTCTTTAGTTTTCCATGTACTATTGCTTAGATCTACAGAACTGTTGTCATATAAACCACAAATTTTATACTTCTAAAGCCAGTATTCTTCGAGAAACAACAAGATTTTAAAAACATTTTTGGCTTCCAAACACGGAATAACTACATACAATTCTCTTATCTGTTATTAATGCTAATTCATAAAATTTGTAGTTTTGTCGCTTAAGTTAATGATTGCTATTTAATAAAGAGATTATAATAATGCAAGGCTGTAAATCTTTAGTAGTCATAGACCATTGCCAATTCATTATCTATGATTTCTTTGAATTCCGTGTTTACTACTTATTTCATTTGTGAAAGACAAGATTTTGTGATTAAAAGTTCGTATTCCAAACAACCTCACAAATCATTTTTTTTTTCCCCTTTGAATTACAATGCTCAATATTTTCCCATTGGTTCAGAAAGCAGCATGATAATTTTAATTTTTGGTAGTCAGTTTTTGTTCAAATATGAGATGGGTAATTAATTTTCTGTTCTGTTGTTTCCCCTTGAACATCAGTAAAGACAATACACAGGATAAAAAGCTTCGAATCGGCTGAGAGAATGGTCAATCCAAGAGACACCCCACAAGAGATTGTCTGGGCAGGTCATGTGACACATCCGGAGTCATCAGAGCTACCAATGTTAGACTTAACTAAAATACTAGTCGCTACCAATAACTTCAGCCAACCAAATAAACTTGGGGAAGGAGGATTTGGCCCTGTTTATAAGGTAATCAATTTTTTTTCTTCTTTTTAAGTATGTGATGCTAAGCTTATACATGCACCTGTGATGTATATCTATGTAGTAATTAACAAAGTTTGTTGACCACAGGGAAAGCTAGAAGACGGGCAACAAATAGCAGTGAAAAGACTTTCTAGTCATTCAGGACAAGGCAATGAAGAGTTCAAGAATGAGATCATATTGATCTCCAAACTGCGGCACAGGAATCTTGTTAGGCTTTTGGGTTGCTGCATTGAAGGAGAAGAGAAGATTTTGGTTTATGAGTACCTGACAAACAGAAGCCTGGACACGATTCTCTTCGGTAGGTTTTGACTTGGCAATTTTTCTTATTGAATTAATGAATATAAACAATAATGAAAGTTGCGTATCTTGTTTATTTTGTAGATTGGAAGTTTCATCAGGAATATTTTATATTTTATTGACTAAAATCTGTGTTATTTTTTTTTCCATGAAAACCAATTGTTATGCCAAGTTATCCTACTTGCAAGGATGGATCTAGGGGGTCCTAGGAAGGCGGCCGCACCCCTAGAAATTTGAAAAATATCATATATTATGCTAAAAATTTTAAAATAATTTAAAATTATAGGAGTTTGCACTCTCAAATATTTTTTAGATAATTTCAAAATTATATGAAGTAGCCCCCAATTTTTTAAACTATTTGAATTTTTTTTTTTTTTTTTTATTAGTTAACATATATAATAATCTATATTAAATTTCATGTATATGTATTTTTTAAATTAGGTCAAGATGAAAGAAAAATTTTAGAAACTTTAGTGGGTCAAAGTGTAAAATATGAAACTTTTACAAATATATAAACTATAAGATGCCTAATTTTTGTAAATAAATGCATGTAGAAATAGTTACTACTTTTTGTAAGTGAATATGGGCAAAAAAAAATATTCTCAATTGTATGATTATCTTTTTGTACTCAACTATCTAGATAAGGAATATATAGTTCAACATTTTATCGTAACATTATTGATTTTTTTCATGTTAGTAGAAATTGGTGTTAACTTCAAATTTTGTTGGTTAGAGGTTAAATGTACTTTGGCCCCCCAAAAGTCATAATCATGGATCCGAACAAATCCCCCTCTAATTTCAAGTAGGAGTGAACCAAACTTGATATATTCCCAATTAACTATCTTAATTGGACTCAGCCAAATAAAATTAATGATTTTTCATTAAAAAAACAAAACAAAACAAAAACAAACAAATATCAAAATTTATGGATTCTTCTTTCGTCCTGCATATTGTTCATAGCACATCTACTGCTATTACTGTATCGGTGAGGAAAGTAATATCAAAATTAGTTTTCATTCTTGTTTTCTTATTCTCATTGATTATAAAAGTACAGAGAGGACTGACCATAATGAATTTATCTTTTTGACTGTCATCCTGCTGATTAGATGCAAAGAAAAAAGAGTGGCTTGATTGGGCTAAACGCTTCAACATTATTCAGGGAATTGCTAGAGGACTGCTTTATCTCCATCGTGATTCTTGTTTAAGGGTTATTCATAGAGATTTGAAGGCCAGCAATATTCTCTTGGATGATGATATGAATCCGAAAATTTCAGACTTTGGGTTGGCACGAACTTTTCAAGTGACACAAGAGCTGGTAAATACTCGCAGGGTGATGGGAACATTGTAAGGATCCTTTCTTTCCTAGAAACAAAAAACATGTCTCCTATGTAGTACTATTTATAGATTGCTCAGTACTAACAGAACACATGGGATCTAACACACTAAAACTGCCCTCATTTTCTATTGCACCTCCATGAGCACACATGCAAACAGAACAGTTTTGAAGTTGTATAAGTGATTTAGTGAATATTTTGTTTCCTTCCCACCTGTTGCAATCTCATTAGGTAAGCATGAACATAACATTTTGCAATTAAATGCAGTGGTTACATGTCTCCTGAGTATGCGATGGGAGGGCTGTTTTCAGAGAAGTCAGATGTCTTTGCCTTTGGTGTTTTGCTACTAGAGATTGTTAGTGGCATGAGGAATACTAGTTTGTATCATTATCAAGAACAACATCTGAACCTCCTTGGTTATGTGAGTAAACTACTTTCACCTTAACTTGCTTTCAAACACTTTAGTCACCATCCTTATATTTGCTTCTTTCAATTTCATATTTTGACATATGTGGAACTATTCTAGGCATGGCAAATGTGGAACGAAAGAAGGGGACTAGACTTTGTGGATGAAACATTGGTGGAGTCATGTTCCCGGTTAGAAGTAACAAGATGCATACATATCGGCCTTCTTTGTGTTCAAGACCACGCTGGGAATAGGCCAACCATGTCAGCTGTAGTTCTCATGCTGAGCAGTGAATTAGAAGTTCCACAACCAAAACAACCTGCATTTACTATGCAAAGTTTGTTGGACTCTGATCTTCAATCACAATACAACAATATATATTCTGAGGATAGTGAGCTTGTATCGATTATTGAAGGGCGGTGACCAATTACCAAATTATATATTGCATTAGTTGGTATCAGTGTAAGGATTCGCCTGACTTGGGGACTAATGAGCAAAGAGATAGAAAACTCGTCAATGATGATCATGCGAAGGGAAATGTTACTTATAAGAAGTTTCAATTTTCAAGTGTTATTTAATGAGTGTAGCATTGAATATTCACTCATGATCAACTTGTTTGTTTACATGTTCATACTCATCGGGACTTTATGTATATGAAAATTACCTAAATTTAATGGTTTTTGTATATTTTGAAAGTATTCTAGACTGGATACTAGATATCAAAGAGTTTTTTTGAATATATGAAAATTTCCAGTGAATAAATTTAAATCAAGTTATATTCCTTGAAAAATTTAAAAATTCCCTAGATATTGATTTGTGATTATGCATCAATTTCAACCAGTAAATAGCAATTCCAATCAAACAATTAAAGACAAATCGATACAACGATTTTACGTGGAAAACCCGCAATTGGAGTGCCTCCAATTGTGATAAAAAACTACGGGCAAAAGCCACAAAACAATCCACTAAGAAGACATAAAGAAATTACACAAGTGTACTCTCAATTACCTAGCGAATCCACGCCCAAATCGAACAAATCCCTATGTGCCTCTTCCAGCCCCGTCTTCACCTCAGAATTGTCTTGCCCAACGTTGAATCCACAATGCCGATGTCAAATCCACGGCGATGAACCACTCAGGAATCCACCAAAGTTTCAGGTCCAAATTCCCCAAAATCTATCGAAAAACAACTCTCTCTTTTTGAATAAAACAAAATAAACAAACCCTTTGATATAATCCACTCAATTCATAATATAAACTCTCATAGATATCAAAGGAAACAAAAAAAGAAACTCCAGATGAAAACCCTAATACCCAAGAAGAAGATCTAGAAGCCATACCCTAAAACCTGACTGAACCTTAGCTTTTATAGCAAACAGATCCGCGATCTCTGCTCAAGCGCAGGAATGGTCGCTCGAGCGGATTGACTAAAATGTGTGTTTTAGAGCAAGGGTCTACACTCGAGCACTACCCTCTAGACCCCCGTGAGCTGACCAGGCAGCTCGATCCCGGACGTAGTCAGCGAAGTGGCAAACATGAAAGAATTAACATCACAAACTTCTTTGCACGGCACAATTCGGGTTGGATTCGCATCTAACAATTCATAGCTTCACTGAAATAAAAGAATGAATAAAATTACAACTGAAAGGAATTTTGTCAAACGGGATTGCCAAGAACAAAAACCTAACAATCTTCCCATTTGGCAATGTCGTGACAAAACCACACCTAACAAATAAAATCCTAATCACCCCAACCCATTACAACCCATTATAGCCAACAAAAACAAACTTCATTCTCAAGGTTATGATATGCAAAATAGCTATTAGTGCCACAATCTCCAAAACAACTATTAGTGCTACAAGAGTATATGAAAAAAAATAAGTATATAACAAGATTATCTTAAAGCATGAGATGGAAATATGAATAGATGTAAATTGGAGATTTTAAGAACATGTAGCAAGAATAGATGACAATCCTTAGAAACATGCAAACACGCTCAAAAACCATTTTGATTTTGACTCAAATGTCTCCACCTTTTTGTCATGAATTGTCAAAGGATGCTCAATCAACAAGAGCAAGAGCATAAACCACACAAGTAGGGACAAGATGATATAAAAATTAATAACCTATGAGAAGTAAGCAATGAACAAGCAGTGGATAGCAACATACAAACCAACTAATGCCAATCTCCCTTACCAAACCAATCAACATAAGTTCATGCTTAAAGAAAAACTTTGCAATGATAAACCAAACACCCCTATACTAAAAGTAACCACAAACATTGAAAACAATAAACAAGAAGAAAAACAACAACAACAAAATATGGTGGAGCAAACAAAGAATTTCAGATTTGTATCTTAAACTACACAAGATTATCCAAGAAACACAATTACTTGAAAACACAATGTGCACAGCTTCTAAAAGATTCCTCATAAAAGAAAGTGATGCATTATGTGAAAAGCATAGATCCCATGATAAAAGTGTGTGTGTGACTCTTAGAGTTCGACAAACACTAGATTCAAATCCTAGTAGTGATTTGAAAGCTGGACCTCAGGCAAGAGAATCTAAGCACAACTAAGGAAAGTCAAACCACTAGGAATCAAATAAAACACACAAGATTATCCAAGAAGCACAATTACTAGTAAACACAATGTGCACAGTCTGTAGAAGATTCCTCATAAAAGAAAGTGATGCATTATGTGAAAAGCATAGATCCCATGATAAAAGTGTGTGTGTGACTCTTGGAGTTCGACAAACATTAGATTCAAATCCTAGTAGTGATCTGAAAGCTGGACCTCAGGCAAGAGAATCTAAGCACAACTAAGGAAAGTCAGACCACTAGGAATCAAAGGGTATTTGTTGAGTAAAAACGGAGGCATTCCCTCAATCAATGAATTTTTTTCTTTCTTTCTTCTCCACATTTTTTTCCTTTTCTTTCTTTTGCACATTTTTTTTTTCTTTTCTTTCTTTTGCGCATTTTTTTTTTCTTTCCTTTGCACACTCATTAGCGGCTTTCATGCTAAAAAGTATGGAAACCGAACCAGAGAAGCATGGATACAATAAGGATAGCCTGGTTGGTGACTCTAAGGTAGCCTTTTTCTCATGGCTGGACTACAAAGAACAGAAGGGAAAGCCATGGAAATGCAAAAAGATGGAAGGTGGTTAAGAGACTCAACATCACCCATGATGTGCTAGTATAGGTCAATTCCTCTAGAAAAACAAAAGACACAATGCTAGAAGTCCATAGAAAAAAATGATCACTGAGGCGGAAGAGTCCGATATTTGCTAATCCAAAAGTGTGTATAGAATTTTGACAACCCCGATCCGTAATTAGTTACTAAACTGTGATTAAGGACGTTAATCAAGTGATTAAATAATTATATGTTAATTATGTAATTTTGTATGCTATTTGATTTTCTATCTGTTGTGAATTCTGTATTAATTTGAAAATAGAAAACCTTACCGGTGTCCAAAACCTGAATTGATTACATGGATGTGTCATTTGGAATTTATAGAATCATTTGGCAGTTTTTATTAAATATTGATTCAGTTCAGTAAAATTTGCATGTGATTAAATTGAGCCTTAATGGGAACTATTTTGGATTAATTGAATTTTGAGCTAACCTGGATAAATTAAGGTTACTTGTGTTTGATTTAAATGATGCATGATTGGCACCTAATCTAATCCTATTAACGATCCAAGATGTGATTAAGAGTATGGTGTGCTAAGGCCTTGGTGATGTTGAGTGTAGGGGATCACAACCTTTGTGTGTGTTGGAGTCTTGCATGCATAACCACGTGGGCATTTTGAGGAGAAGTGTGTATGTGTATATTCAGCTGAGTGAGGAAGTGTTGTATCATCCATTTTTTCTCATTTGGTCCCTTGTGTTGAGAGAGTTTGATGAGAAGGAAGGAAACTAGGGAGATTCATCTCACATCTCTGAAGTCAAAGCTCTACGTACAAGTCTTGAGCATATTTTCTGCAGCCAACTCCCATGCATCATGACTTCAACACATCTTTGAACCAATTTCATGAATTAGCACGAGAAGTGGGTCTTTGGGCTTGTAGATGACTTGCATGTGTAAACTTGGAGATTAACCTTTGGTTCCATCATTTTGAGTCAGAGTTTTGAAGTCATTGCAAGCATGTGAGTTCGTATCTTGCATCATGTTTTGGAAATTCATGGATTCTTATCAACCATTTGCATGTTTTGAAGAAATCAAGAAAATAGTTTGAAAATCTTTCGTGCAGGAGCTTTTGAGTTCAAATTTGCTAAATCCATGACTCTTGAGCTAAAGGTCTGTAAATGATCATATATTTGTGTTTTAGAAAAGTTTTCCAAGTGTTTTGGTCAAGCTACGCATGAGTGTAGCCATTGAAATTGCATTTTGCAGGTCAAAACTCTGTTTTTGGAAACCCAGAATTTCACAGTCCGCTCGAGCGAGGAAACATGCGCTCGAGCGGAGAATGCGAGCCCTCAGTATTTTTGCACGCATGAGCGCTCCGCTCAAGCGACCACTTGGACCCTCGAGCGAACCCTTTGCATATCGTTGATCCGCTTGAGCGTGTAAGTTGTAGCTCGAGCGTAGATTGAGACCAACTAGCACTTTTTCCAAGTTTGCAGACCGCTCGAGCGAAGGAAGTCTCACTCAAGCGACTCGAGTGACCCCTCGCATGTTTGCATATCCGCTCGAGCGAGGAAAGCTACGCTCGAGCGGGGACCTTGTTTTCAGAAATTTTACCAAGTGTTTCAACTCATATTTTGGCATCCCCATTGCATCTTTAGCATCCCTAAGCCTTAATTAAGCCATGGTAATGAGGTTATGAGGTAGAAACACACTAGGAAAGAAATGCACTTAGTTAAGAAGTTGTAAGTGTGTGTTTTAAGCAATGTGTTAAGAAAGAACAAGAATCAATGTAATGAAAGCTAAGCCATGATGGCCACATGAATGTGTAATGATAGATATCTTTGTGTTATGTACTTTGTGGTTATAGGTCAAGACTCGAAGACTAATTGACCATTTACGGGAACCATTGTGAGTAACGTTATTGTAAAGATATGTTCATATGAATTATGTTCCAAATGTGATTTGATAAGTTATGATTTCTGAAATGATATTTGTTTACGTAAACGAATGGCCTATGTTTGAAATCTATTATGGCATCCATAGATAGTCCCAAGTCATGGGGGATGACATGTTAATGCAGGTCCATGACATATATGTGATACGAGATCTTGTTGGCCACTTCACTGTGGTGATATGTGTTTAATCGGTATCCGGAACCGATTACTCTAGTCGGAGACGATATGTGATGTGTTCTGTGGGAGGTACCATTAGTATGTTCAGACATGAGAATGATTATGTTATGATTTTCCTTATGATTACGAAATGTTCAGAATTCGTTCACTAACCCCTTTATCTTAATGTTATTCATTGAGCTTTAGCTCACTGTATGTATAAATATGTATAGGTGGGCATTTTGGAGATCAGTCCTGAAGACTCTTGTCTGGATCTGTGTTCTGTTATCAACCAACCATTGCACCTCACGTGGAGGTTCCGGATGTGTCACTTGTTATGAGTTTCGGTTACTTGTGTATATGACTTGTAGTTTTGTTAGATGTACTTAAGATACTTTTATGTGTGTGGGTATAATGTATGAATGACTTTTGGATACGTATATAAAGT